AATGCACCGGCTTTTCCTTCCAACTTCTTGACGGCTCTACTTTTGTTCTGTGCCTGTGTGTCTCTGGCAGGGAGCCAGGCTCTGGACAAACTGCAGCCTTGGAGAGAGAGGCGGAGACAGGCATGCCTGGGGCAGGCTCACAGAGTGTGGCCCTCTGAGCCTCCCTCCTCTCATCCCAGCCACAGGGTAGGGCCTTCAGAGGGGACAAGGGACCAGTCTTCAGAAACACACTTGCCTCTTGGCTGGATTGGAACTTACCAGGCCTGGGTGGGGTCTCATGGTTCCGTATTTGCTGAAATGGGAGATCAGGCTTTTTGTGGGGGACTCCAGAGGGCAGGGTAGCCACTGTGGGATAGAGGTGGGGATGGATTTTGAGTTGGTATGAGGAAGCGCCTAAAAATGAGTACACTCCAACAAGGCCCCAGGGGCCTTGGAAATCCTGCATTAAGGGTTGGGTGGCAGGATCCTCTCCACCTGGGGCTACATGAAGAATCAGATGGATGAGCAGTAGTCTAGGAAGTAACCTGTGTCTGGCTGATGGAAGGCTGCCCTGGCCCACTCTGCAGGAGCCTCATGCAAGTAACTAGCCCATTTGATAATGAGTAATACACAGCATGAAATTAAATTCACTATAAAGTAAAAGAGGAAAAGAGTAGCAAAAGTTTCCAACAATTGAAGAATATTCCCCTGGAAAACATTGCCACAGAGCAAATAAAAACTGTCCAAACATTATGCCATTGAATGAAAAAACCCAACAACCTGAATGCAGGAATTACTTTCTTGAAGGAAGAAGGCAAAATAGCAATGCAAAAACACAATAAAAAATTACCATTTTTTTAAACCCCTAATGGTAAATAGTTGATTCAGGTAAGGACCATCAATAGATGCTAAAACCGTTGGGTAAAAAGTAATTGAGGACCGGAGTATTCCTCTGGTGATAAAGTGTCACTAGTCACCTTATATATTAATTAATAATTACAGAGGGAAGATATGTACTTTTACATTGGCAAACCTGGCAGTTTTCCCCCTAAGCAAGTGATTAAAGTTGGCATTCTCAATAGCATGACCACCTAAAATCACGTGCCTCTTGATGGAATGCAATATGAAATACACAATATAAATACAGTTAAAAATGCTTACTCTGAATCTCATCAAGTCTTTAGAGTGAACTGGCGATTTATTGGAAGTATAAGTGTTAGGAAAACAAACAAAATATAAAGAACGAATCAGAATCTAGAATATGGGACATTTTACAAAATAACTGGCATATCACCCTTGCCAGTGTCTCTCACATTGATGTTTCTCTTTCTCTGTCTCTCCCCCTCCCTTCCACTCTCCTTAAAAAAAATCAATGGAAAAATATCCTTGGGTAAAGATGAATAACAAGAACAATAAAATAATAACTGGCATGTTCTCTTAAACAAATAATTATTGCCACAATACTGGCTGTTCTACATTTCTAGAACAAAGAGACATAACCAAATGCAATGTATGGTTGGATACTGGGTTAAAAGGATATTTAAAAACATGTTGAGGAGTAATTGGGAAAATTTGAATATGGACTGTATATTGATATTGTAGATGATATTGTGGAATTATTAGATTAGCATTGTGGTTATTTAGGACAATGTTCTCATTTTAGAAATGCAGGCTGATGTCTTAATGGGTGAAGTGTCATGATGTCAGCAATTTATGTGAAAATGGTTTAGAAAAACGTGTTTGTGTATTGTGTGAGTGTAGAGAGAGGAAAAGCAGATATGGCAAAATGATAACAATTGTTGAAACTGTGTGCAAGATATATGGATACTCATTGCATTATTCTTCCAATATGTTGGTCAGTTTGCAATTTTTCAAAATAAAAAGTTGAAATGAAAAGGACACAGGAAAGAGATGGTGAGATGACAGGAGGAGATGTAGCATGGCTGGAAGAACTCAGGGAAAACACCATATCAGAGTGCTAAAGATGAAATGGAAGGAATACAAATAAAAGACAATTAAGAACATCATAGCAAGGGACATGGAAGAGACATGAGGAAGGCAAGCAGAATGGAATGGCAAAAAAGAGTTAAAAAAAGACTAGAGAGAAAAAGATTTAGAATCAAGGAATGCAGATTCAATAGATACATCATTGGAGCCTCCATAGAAGAAAACCAAAATGATGAAACAGGTCAAATATGAATATGATTTTCTGAAATAAAGACTTTAATTTATACCATGTGTTAGAAAATATTAATCCAGAAGTGTTTATCATTGAAGATGGTCAATCAAGTAAAATGATCAAGTCAATTATAAGGGACAAAAACCAAGTCTTTACAGCATTCAATACCAGAAGCTGTTGGTGCAATACTTAAATGGTATTACAGGAAAAAAAAGTGTTACCCAAGGATTTTATATCTAGCTTAATTACCTTTCAATTATAAAGACTACAGATAGTCTTGAACATAAAAGAATTTAGAGAATGTTCTTTTCTTGAGGAAACTACCAGTGGGTGGATGTCAGCCAACTAAGAATTGGGAAAACTATGGAAAAAAATATCAACAGCAAAATTTGAATACATTTACTGTGGACTAACACTAAAATGAGAGTGATTGAGAAGGATGTGAAATGATGTCACCTGACAATATGTAAACAATATACTTAAACATTGGTAGAAGAAGAAGGAAAATAGGTGAGAGGTAAAATTTACTTATTGCTCCATCTGTAATAATTGGTACAAGTTCAGTGTTCCAAAAACATTCCTCAACCAGTCAAATCTATACTAATAAAAGGGTACTATGCTAATTAGACCAGATCAACTGGCCTGATTGCCATCTAACTGCTCTGGCTGTCTGACTTCATTATGGACAAAGCCACGGTGATGGGGGCCGAGGCAGAGGCATTTAGGGGTGATCAGGTCAGCAGGGGAACAAGCAGTTAAGGGCGAGATCAGGCTGGCACAGGGGAGCAAGCTGTTAGGGGCGAGATCAGGCTGGCATGGGGGAGTAAGCAGTTAGGGACGAGATCAGGCCATCAAGGGAGGGCAGTTGGGGGTGATCAGGCTGGCAGGGGAGCAGTTAGGCGGCAATCAGGCCAGCAGGCAGAGGCAGTTACAGGCAATCAGGCAGGCAGGCAGGAGAATGGTTAGGAGCCTGTGGTCCCAGATTATGAGAGGGATGTCCGACTGCCAGTTTAGGGCCTAAACTGGCAGTTGGACATCCCCCAAGGGATCCCAGATGGGAGAGGGTGCAGGCCAGGTGTGGACCAACCCCCCTCCCCCCCCATGCACGAATTTTGTGCACTGGGCCTCTAGTAATATAATAAGCACTTTTTAAAATACAAAGATTAACTATGAGAAAGACATTATTGACTAAAGTACGGTAGAAGAGGAGAGGAAGGAACGAAGAGGAAATGTGTTTCCTTTTTTGTTGTCACAGTAAGGAACTAATGTCTATTTGTTAAATAATAGAAAACTCAAGCTATTAGTTAAAGCTTTCATTATAAAGGAGGAAAATTGAAATCTTTTGAAATTTGAGAATTACAGCAACCAAGACAACAAACTACATAGTTTAAGCTTTTAAAAAATTATTTATTTTTTAAATATATTTGATTGATTTTTTTACAGAGAGGAAGGGTGAGGAATAGAGAGTTAAACATCAATGAGAAAGAAACATCAATCAGCTGCCTCCTGCACACCCCCTATTGGGGATGTGCCCGCAACCAAGGTACATGCCCTTGACCAGAATCGAACCTGGGACCCTTCAGTCCACAGGCCGATGCTCTATCCACTGACCCAAACTGGTTAGGACAGTTTAAGCTTTTAAAAAATGATTAAAGCAGAAAGTAACATAATGTTAATATGATAGAACTAAGGCTAACATGTGACATATCAATAAATGTTGAAATCGATTTAGCTCATCTATTATTATTTTTTTTATTCTTCTTTTTGTTCTTGTTGGGGCCAGCAGAGAGAGAGAGAGAGAGAGAGAGAGAGAGAGAAAGCACAGGTCATAACCTTACTATCACATCCAGTGAAAATGAATAAGGCTCAAAGATGCAAGTCACAGTGAGAAAGAAAGCCTATGTACCAAGTAGGAAAGGACAATGTTCATAAAGCTAAAGTTACAGGAGATTCAGGGGGAAAACAGACAAGCAAATAAGTAGTAGGACTCTTGAACTCAGCCCTAGGTCATCTGGAAAAAATGAAATGGAAATAGAAGATGAAAACATCAGAGAAGCAG